CTGATACAGTTCGAGGCACGCTTAGGCCAGTACATTAGATCGCGCGTGATTGATAGGATCATTGGCCTGACCTGTGGACAGCTGTTCTGTGATTTCCAGAGCGAATGCTTCGATTGCATGCTATTTGCAAATGCAGCAGCGAATCGTTCTGGTATCGCTTTATCAACCTGCCACTGCTTCACATTTGCTCTACCAATGCCTGAAGCAGCTGGGCATTATTTAGACCGAGTTTTTTTGAATTCACAGGATGAGGACTATCAATTTTTAGATAATTTGTTCGGCTCATACTCATTAACAATTGTTTTTTTTTTCTGGTCAAAAGAAAAATCATCATGCGACTGTTTTGCAGGACGTGGTGGTGCTTGGGAAGAAGCGATCATTCTGCTTCAAGATTCCGTCCGTTACGTGTTCCTTTCTGGACGCATTCCAAATGCAAGACAATTTGCTGGTTAGCCTTCTCTTGCTTCTTAAAGACTAAAATCAAGTTGCTACCCTTTAGATGTAGCGGTACTCTTTGCTTTATCCAGGAACTCAAGTTTTGCTTTTGAGTATTCCTTCCAGGTCCTTTTTAATTTTACCTTTCATCCGAGTTTAAGTACTGGAAAATTTGGAATGCTACTAAAATGCTAATGGAAATAATGAAATTAACAGCTTTTAAAAAGTATGAGCAAGAAGGGGTAAGACGTTTCTTACGTCACATGTGTAATTTGGTCGCAGTGTAGGCCATTAAAGGAAAAACAGTCGAATTTTAATATTTGGTGAAACTCAAAAGAGCCATTTAGCTATCTTTGTTATGCAAACCGGTATTTGGAGTAGGCGACGTCTGTGTTTCATCCCTGAACTGTAGACACAGATGGCTGAACCGTTACGAAATGGGGTGGGATTCATCAGTGCAGTATCCCATTTCGCTGTTTTGAAGGGGACATGTAAGTTTTGGTAAGAAAGATAAAAATAAACTTGGTCTGGTGATGCACTAGTTTAGCCTTATAAATTAATCCTCGGATCAGAATTAAAATTAGGTTTATGGCGCTGAGCTGTCTTTAGAGTACTTGCGGTCTGTCTTTTCACTGTAGTTCTGAACTTATTGCCACGAGAGGGCCACTGAGATTTCTTCGTTAACGGCGAAACATCCTGTTTTTTCTGCCGTATTATTTTTGATTATTCCGAGTTTTATCACTGCACAACATAAATATGCCACTATTAATCGTATTGTGCTCCATTATACAGATTGGGTGGTCTCTCTTCACGACCAGCCGGTGCATGTTATATGCACTGATTATCGGCCAGTACCGTTGCAGCATTTTCTGTATCCTGCCGGAACTTCTGGCCTTTACGAAATTGTGAATATTAAGGTAAGCTCAACAGTTTTTTTTTTTTTTTTTGCAGAAATTACTAATGAGCTTGTCGCTGATGCACACTTTATGTAGTTCTGTTTTATATTTTTCAGCTCGAGCCATCGGGTAGGCCCAGTGGTGCTTGCCTCCTATTTTATTATGCGTTTTTTGCAGCTATGCAAAGCAGAAATTCTGAATCATTATATATCTCTGCCAAAAAGCTTTTATTTTACATTGCAAAAAATTTACCTGCTTTCTGTTGTTCAAAAAATTTACCTGTTGTTCTAGTTTCTTTCTCGGATCGTTTCTGATAGTGAACTGACCGCGGAAATGGTCTGACCTGGGGCTAAACTTTGCGTAGCTTTGGCTACTATTAATCAAAATTTACGTTGGTCAAAGCTCACAGCGGAGCAACAATTTGCTGGAGACCGTAAATTCCGTCCTGAAAATTGTTTTTTTTTTAAGAAAAAAGTTTCAAACCTAGATACCAAGGCGCTACCAGCGGAAACTACGATCTTCAGCTATGACGTAACGGACTGATAACTTAATTTTCTGTCGTCTGCTGAAGCTGTAGGACTGGAAGTGCCGAACGAAGAGCAAGTCCAAGTTCTTTTCTCTGCTGAATCCAGGAGCTAACGTGGCACATCACAAGTCCCGCCAATCCTTTGCTAATTTCAGCAACCCGTAAACCACCCGCAGCATGAGGCATTCTGAAATATTCATTTCCTAGTTAGCTGTAGTGTCATCTCATTCGCTGCAGATTTTAAAGTTTGGTTGCCCCCGATATGTGTCGGACTCGCTGCACCATTGTTTTGTATAGTGACCGGCAGATGATTGAAGAGCAAAATTTTTAATTTTGCGCGCCTAATTTGCTGAAAATTTATCATTTTTTCCCACGCTCCATGCCTTCTCAGTTCAGTCTGCCTGGATCAAGTATGGGTTTCCGGGGATTCAGCATGGGTCTCCATCAAATGTTGTTGCCGAAGGCCATTTGGGAAATAATGTTGCTTGAAGTAACTGCAGTGTGCCGGTAGCGGGGATAGCATACGTTTAGTTGCATTCTCTACACCGTTAGGCAGTTTATTCACCTGTTTCCGTTGTTTACTTATTTGTTTCTTTGCCGAACCACTGAATATGCACTCCTAGACATCATGGTTCTATGCGTAATTAATCACTAAACTATAAAGATTACTTCTACATTTCTAGTACCCTGGCGGCAGAATTTTATCTCATTAGCTGTTCTACACCTGAGCCGTTGCGACAAGCATACTGCCCTCAAAGCCTTTTTTTAAACGCTTGAAAACTGCTGCGTCGATTTGACAATTCCATTACTTGCTTTAGGCGGCTTTCAGACTTGAACTCCTTATTTTACTGAAATTTGTGGTAGAAAAAACGCACAGCTTTTTCCAAATAAATTAAAAGTGGTCTTAAATCTTGAATGTGCAGGCATTTGTTCTGATAGCTTTTTTATCACATTCGGCTGGTCTCCTTGTTTAGGCAACATTTTTACGCTAAAAAAATGGAGTTTCATAAAATTGCTCCGAAATCTAGAAGAAGCATGTTCGTCTTTACTACATTATATGAAACTGTGTTTTCAAATAAGTTTCTAAAGCGTGTGGGTCTGAGAAATAGAAGTCTTTGATAATTTTCGGTGCAGAACTGCGATTCCTTTTAAATATCGTTTTGCTGAAGTTTTCATGGCTTTAGATGTATTTTCAGTTATCCCAGACAAGTTTATTTGACTCTGAAAGCTCAAAGCATCTTAAAAATGTAATTTTAGGGAGTTTTTCGACAAGACAAGTTTACGGAAGCCATGAACGCATTGTCACGTGTGGGTGACGCCGGTCGCAGTGTCAGCAAAAGAAAAAAAGGCGTAAGCGCTGGTATGCTTTAATAAATACACTTTTGAGCTTTTAGTTCGGGGAACTCTGTAACTTTTCGTAGAATTTTTTAACACTAACTT